AAGCCAGAATGGCCAGACTTCGTCTCACCTATTTTGGTCATGTTGTAAGAAGGGACCATTCCCTGGAGAAGGATGTCATGCTTGGTAGGGTGGAGGTTCGACGAAAGAGCGGGAGGCCTTCAACGAGATGGATTGACACAGTGGCTGTGGTGATGGGCTCAAGTATAGCAGGGATTGTGGGGCTGGTGCAGGATTGGGCAGTGTTTCGTTCTGCTGTGCATAGGGTCGCTATGAGTCAGAAACGACTCAACGGGACTTAACAACAACAACAACAACGTAGTGCCTAAGGCACTTGAGTGCTAAGCAGAAGGCTGGAGGTTCAAACCCACCAGCCACTCCTCAGAAGGAAGGTTGGGCAATCTACTTCCGTAGTGATACTGCCTTGGAAGCCCAAGTAGGGGTCTCTATGAATCGGATCTGACTCAATGGCAGTGAGTTTGGTTTTTGGTTTTATATATTTGTCTGAAGTGTATTGCTTTTCATTGTTAAAAGCCAATTATAGTGGAAAAAGAAACAATAATCCCTACTTCTGGAAAAAATATCTAGACAGATTGTCAGGGCTACTTGTCACAGATACATTTTTAACATCTTTTTCTTTTTTCTTACCAGACGTTACTTCGACCTCTTCAAGCTTTATGCACTTTCCAGCTTCAGCATGGTGCTCAAATTCGCCTCAGCAAGGAACATCTTCTGAAAAATGGATTATATCCTAAACCCATGCCAAAGAATAAACGCAAACTCAGGAAAATGGAACTATTAATGAACAGTGTTAAAATTTAAAACAATTGTTCGATGGTGCTAGTTCATTTGTCTTCAGTTGATAATACCAAGTTAGGCTTTCACTCAATTTGACTTGTTGATTTTGTCTATCTATAATACGAATGATAGTTGCATGTTAATTTTGTCTGGAAGAAGGAAGAAAACCACATAGCCATAAAAACAAAAAAATTTACTGGCTCAGTGAAAAGCAAAATTTCATACTGTTTTTGTTTTTAAAAATGTGCCTCTAATGTATTTGCTTTGAAATCTGTCATTTAAAATGTAATTAATACTTGAGCTAGGTTAGAAGATATTGTTTACAAAACAAAGAAATTGTGCCTGATTGAAGTAGTATTGTTTCTAATGTTTATTGGTGGTTAGGTGTAGACCTGTAGGAGAGGATACCTACGTAACTTAGCCATCTTGTTTGTTCATGAGCTTTATGATTTGAAATAAAGAATCCAAGAAAATACTAGTAATCAAGTATTTTAGATTGAATTGTTCATTTCAGTAAATTGTAAAATAGAATATGGAAATTAAGTGTTCTTTAGGGACTAAACTTGAACTCAGCTGATGTGATGTGTTTTACTAATTAGTGAATATTATTTTGAAATAGCTCATATTTCCATGTGCAATCACTCTGGATAAATTTTTATTTACCTTTATTCATTGAATTACTGACTCAATGATAAGCCAGTTTAATTGACGATTGCATATGTAAACTGAAGTAGAATATAGATGCAGCTGTAATTTTAAATCTTGTAACTAGAACATTTTACATTATTAAAAAAAATTGGCAAAAGCTTTCAGTTTGAGAGAACAAATTCTCCCACACTTTGGCAGATAGTCACTGAGAGTTTGTACACAATAGGAGACATGTATATAATGGACATTTCTGTTCAACTTAAATCTACTGCAATTATGTACACATTTTGACAGGAAGATATCTCTTTGTTTTTTTCTTTACCTATGACTTCTAGAGTTTTCAGCATCGAGTCCTAAGTTGTAAAGATCAAAGCATGCAACTCAAGGGTATGCTTGATATGTATTTTATGTGTGTGTTGCATAAGTATTATTTCTCACAGTTTTCATATTCATTTATTTGATTATTGTTGAGTTTTAAAAGCTATAATACTTTTAATCATTAGCTTAGAATGCTAATGAATGTTTGAGGAAACTATGCAGAAAATATTGTTACATGTTAAACAGAAAGTTAGATTTCTGTCTTCTACTGTTGACATTTTTTTTTTTTTTGGATTTAAAAACAAGTTAACATATTTATAATCTAATAATCAACACCTAATGTTGAATGTTTATCTAAGTATAATACCTAAGAAATAATGTAATAATGTATAATAGCTTCTTAACAAATGGATTCAAATCATCTTGCAGTTTTTTTTAATGTTGAAATTAAATGTTACACATTTCCTTTTGCCATTCTCACTGCCTTTTTAAAAGAAAATTCTTACATAGACACTATTTATAATCTCAAAATTGTTTAATTTGTGTCAGTTTTTAAAAACAATTGCTACTTTTATCTTACAAATGCATTTTAGAGTATTTTTAAACTTTAAGAATAAAATTTTGTTTTATGGGAAATGTACACAATTTTCTTCAGAAAGTACATGTAATTTTTAAATTAATCTACTTATTTTTCACTGACCTCTTAACATTTGTTTAATCTTCTTTAGTATACACTACATGTCATCTATGACTTGCTGTCATGTAGTGGTTTTAAGTAAATTTTTAAAACTATTATTAGTTTTTAAAAGCTTTCCAAGTATGTAGCATTGTGTAAGTACTTGAACTGCAAATTTAATCTAACTTTTAAAGTTTATTACTTTTTAATTATGTTACTTGGCTTTTAAATTGGAATGCTATATATGTGCCTGATTTTCTTGGAATAGTTCCAGATTTTGTGCATTTATAGATTGTTTTCTGAGTTTTTATTTATTTTACATGACTCAGATGATAGTATTCTTTCATACTCAAAGTGTATGCTTATAGTGCTTATAGTCAGTTCATTCATGGTGGGTTTGAGAGACACTGTATGTAATGAGTGGTATTATTTTGGGAGTATTTCTTAAATGTGACTGGTGGAGAGGGAGTACAAAGGATTGAGAAATATAGTGTATGAAATAAGTCAATATGCTTGCTTTTTATAGCTTTATTATAAGTTCTCTTATGTGGAGCATGAGAGTTATATTAGGAAAAGCTATCGTCTCTGTCTTTAAGACTTCAAACCCAACTTTGTCCTTAGTGATGACCAATACAATGTTAGGGCATTTTTAATAAAACTTTGCAGAGAAGCAAGCTTCTCACTACCACCAGTGCTAGTGGATTAATAGAAGAGCACTTCTGCATAACTGCTGCAGTTCTTTCACACATTTTCAGTTATTGCCCTAAATAACCAAAACAAGCTCATGCCATTGAGTCAGATCTGACTCACAGCAACCCCTCCTTGGGTTTCCAAGGTGGTATCATTACTGAAGTAGATTGCCCAACCTTCCTTCCAAGGAGTGGTTGGTGGGTTTGAACCGCCAGCTTGCTGGTTAGCAGTCAAATGCTTTTTAAAATGTGGTGGTGTTTATGGAGAATCCTGATGTTGAATTTCAGGGAGGTAAATTGTTGATCCTTGGATGTAAATGCCAGTGGTATACAAATAAATTTTATTAATATTGTAAGTAAAAACATAGGTCTAATTTAGTGAACTCAAAAATTTTATATAACTGTACTTTACCATGTAGATGTATACCTTAAAAATAGATAATAAAGTATATTTTTATAAATAAATAATAACGTGTATTAGAAGTAATGAGACTTTGCATTTAATTACATCCTGTCAACAGATCTTATAGAATGAATCACTACTTCTTAATTTGTCCACTCTAAATTTTCATTTACTGGATTTATTTCTCTCTTTCACTTTTTCTTCTTCCTTCCCAGGCTCCTCTCTCTCTCTTTTATTACCTCACCATCCTCTTTCCTTTCCTACAGCCCTTACCCTGTGTACTAGCTCTTCTTTAAAAACATTATTATTATTATTAGTGTATTTATTTTACTATCAGTATCTTTTTTTTTTTTTTACTTTTTATTGTGACTTATTCTGACTTGAGTGAAAGAAAAAATTGGTTTTCCATTCAACAATTCATACACATTTTGATTCATGACATTAATTGCAGTTCCCACAGTGTAACAGCATGCTTCCCACTTCCTCCCTGTTCACCGTTTCCACTTGATCTTCTTTCTTAACCTTCCAGCCTTCTGAGCTTTATCCCTGGACAAATGGTTCCCTTTTGATCTCCTGTTGTTGATTGTTTTAAGGAGGCTACCTCTCTGGTGGTTTTGTTCACTTTATTGGCTTGTCTGTTGTGTGGCTGAAAGTTGAGCCATCAGGGTAAATTCAGTTCCACATTTGAAGGATGCTAAGGTCCTTGGAAGGAAGGTTGGGCATTCCTACTTCCGTAGTGATACTGCCTCGGAAACTCAAGGAGGGGTCGCTATGAGTCGGGGCTGACTCGATGGCAAATAACAACAACAACAACAACAACTAAGGTCCTTAGTCTCAAGGGTTCCACTAGTCTCTTTCAGACCCATAAGCATGGTCTTTTTTTATGATTTTGAGTTTTGTTCTACATTTTTCTCTCACTCTTACCAAGGACCTCCTGTTATGGTCCTTTTTGTTTTTGATCTTTTATTTTAAAAAATTATTCACATGTCCTTCCATAGACAATTTTCTTTGTAAAAGATTCTGTGGTGGTTTTGACATTACAGTTTTATATGAAAATTTGTACAGGAAATTAAGTAGTGCTCTTTGACTTTTTAGACCTTACTGATTAATTGGCTCCCTTTTTCTATTAAAATTAAGTAAAGCATATTAGAGAAGTAATATTTGTGTTTTAATAATGTTCTCCTGAATTGACAACATAAGAATTATTTTTTTGAAAAATCCCTTTCAAAATTAAGGGATTGTTTAGGTGAAAGGATCTAGAAACTTTTTGAATAAGAAATTATACTACATGATTTACTTTTTTAAAATTTAGAAGTTTATTAAGGAGTTAAAACATTTATAACTATATCTGCTTTGGGTTTATTGACATCATAGATGTACTCCTTTATTTTGCATTCAAATAGCATTTACCAGTTTTTCCCTCAAAATACATTATTTACCAGATACAATATCCCTTGCATTTTTGTCAAAATGTAGTTTTATGGGGAAGTATGAGTTAATATGAAAAACAGTAGTACTTTACAATATGACTATCAGATTTTATAAAAACAATTGTATACCATTTTAGATTTATTGAATTATTTCTTTAGTTTCTTTGTTCTTAGTAAAAATCAATGGAGATACATTTTTACATGCATATATAAGTCCTTGATTGTTATCTAAAAATCCATATTTTCCATTTCTAGAATTGTTATCTTGTCTTTTTAATGACCTCTTGCTTTCTTCATGGATGATATTCTTGATGTCATCCCATGATTCCTCTGGTTGTCAGTCATTGGTGTTCAGTGTATCAAATGTGTTCTTTAAATGGTCTCTAAATTAAGGAGGGATAATATCAAGGTCATATTTTGGCTCTCGTGAACTTATTTTAATTGTCTTAAACTTCAACTTGAATGTGCATATGAGCAGTTGATGGTCTGTTTCACAATCAGGAATCTAGGAATATTGGAAATTTTCTAAAATAAGAGCTCATTAAAAAGACGAGAAGGGAAGAAAAGACCAAAAGACAAGAAGAGACTCTGAAACTTGCCCTTGAGTGGAGAGTAGCTAAAGCAAATGGAAGAAATGACAAGAAAAAAGAGCTGAACAGAAGTTTTCAAAGAGCAGCTCAAGTAGACAAAACCAATTACTATAACAAAATGTGCAAAGACCTGGAGTTAGAAAGCCAAAAGGGAAGAACATGTCCAGCATTTCTCTAGCTGAAAGAACTAAGGAAAAATTTAAGCCTCGAGTTGCAATATTGAAAGATTCTATGGGAAAAATACTGAATGATGCAGGAAGAATCAAAAGAAGATGGCAGGAATACACAGAATCACTGTACCAAAAAGAATTGGTTCAAACATATCAGGAGATAGCATATGACCAAAAACTGATGGTATTGAAGGAAGAAGTCAAAGCTGCACTGAAGGAATTGGTGAAGAACAAAGCTCCAAGAATTGACAGAATATGCATTGAGATGTTTCAACAAACGGATGCCCCGCTGGAGGCACTCACTTGGTTATGCCAAGTGATTTAGAAGATAGTTACCTGGTCAATTGACTGGAAGAAATCCATATTTGTACCCACTCCAAAGAAAGGTGATCCC